TGGTGGAGAGTGTTCGGCTCGCTTATATGTTCGGCTCGCTTATAAGGTACGTTACCTATAACCCATATTATTTAGGTAGGTACTACCTACCCACCCATACCCATTAAGGAACTAATTGCCCACCCACGAATGCCCATGAGTAAGTAAGTCGTCGCTTCCTTGAAAATGGCGAGTGGGGGAAGGTGGTCTCAGCCAATCGGACCTTTTAAATGGGGAATCTTGAAGTTTTCAAGCAAAAATCAGTTCCTGACCTTGACTTAACTTTCTCATCACAGCCGCGGTTATCTGAACCCAGCAGCACCCCGACGCTCTTACGAACAATTCACAGGGAACCACCGCGGCTACAACTCGCTACAACTTATCATGGACCGTGGTGTCGTGCACGCCTACTTTGACGAGTTCGTCGCGACCGGCGTAGTCCTTTTCGACGATCAACAAGAGCAAATTGAGCATGTCGAAGATGGTCTCAAGGTATTCATCCCCTCTCCATAATTCTCATCAGACAAACAAAAAAACAGAAAATAAAACCCCAAATGGAAAAGACGCTAAATCTCTGCAACACTAACCCAGTTCCAATTCCTCCTCACCCCCTCTACCATCAAGAAACCCCTCTTCCAACAACCCCCCTCCAACCCCGACCCCAGTAGTGGCCGACTCGAAGGAAGCGACATCGACACCCTCGGCTTCGAAATCCCCCTTTTCTCATCGGAAAAACCCCTTTTCTCATCATCCACGTCCACCTACCAACCTGCGGGTACACGAACTCACTTCATAGTCGCCAATAAATTCGCCCTTGCCCGCCCTCACTTCCTGGTCCTGACCTCCTCCGGCTTCAGACGCCAACATGAGCCGCTCGACAGGGATGACTTTGAGTTTGCGTGGTTTATGCTGCATTCTCTACCGAGGAGGGAGAAGACGTTGGAGGGAGGGTCGAAAGACTATCTGGCGTTTTTCAACTGTGGTCGGGATTCCGGCTGTAGTCGGGTGCATAAGCATATGCAGGTGTTGCCGATGAGATGGTCAGGGTCGGGGACGGATTCGGGGTCGAGTTCGGAGTTAGGGTCCGAATTTGATTTGGGGCGAGGAAGTTTGATTTCGTTTCTAGAGGGTGATGCGGGCCAACAGGAACCGGAGATCCCGTTTTCGTGGTTCTACCAACGCTTTGAGAAGGAAGATATGACCGCTCCCGAGGTCGAGGGAGTGTATGCCAATTTACTCGCGCAGGCTGAGACTGTCGGGCAGACAAAGGGTGACATTCCTGACAACACCGAACCGGGCGCGGCGTGCCCGCATAACGTGATTTTTACGAGGCGGTGGATGGTGGTTATTCCGAGGCGGCTGGCGAGGGTGAGCACAGAGGTCGGAACGAATGCGTTGGGAATGTTGGGGGTAATCCCGGTTGGGACAAGTGAGGAAATCGAGAGTTGGGTGCGGCTGGGGGTGAAGAAGGCGTTGGCTGAGATGGGTGTGCCTAGGTCGGAGGAGGGTCCTACGACCAAGTCGGTGGTTTGATTTTAGAGACGGAGTATGCAAGATTTGTTACCTATTATTATAGAGAGCTTTCGGCATTCGGAAGCTTCAAGTAGCCTTTCAAATTGTTCATTCCATCCCATCTCCTTACTCAATTAGACCCCGTTTCTCCTGTTCATGTATTCTAAGTTTTCTTTTTCGGACATATTTAAAACCACGTTACCACGGGCTTCGAAACTATGTTTCACCAGCCGTTTGACTAAGATCCCAGACTTGAAATGATCGAAGAACGGGGTGTAAACTCCATAGCCATAGCATAGCCGAGAACCTTTTCATCAACCCAATTCTGTCGGGGTGCATTTTCCTTCAAAGACCAGTACTTCGAAAAATCAATCTTCTAATTGTGGGCTCCACCCAAACCATACGCTGCTTCTCAAATGTTTCAAAGCTAGCCCCTGATTCATCACTCTCTCCGTGATTATCTACTAGCCTGGTCCTCGTTTTGGGCAGAATCAGCCCTCGACAACTACCGGGCGGCCTGTAACACGATCAATTTACGGGGCATGATGAACGTGGCGACGGCGAAATGGCATGGCCTGTTGCACTTAACGGACCAAGATACTGAAAACTCAATATATACGTTTCTTCGTCTTCTCTACAGCAAATATCGACAAGAAATAACACCTATATACAATTCTCCTTGAACAACAAATCATTGTTCATCATCTCAGCCACAACTCCCATCGTCACCTTCTACAAGCACTGTGAGTAGTAGTCGCTCGAGTACTTGCACGTGTACGGCGCGGCACACGTCTTGCACCCTGTGTACCCAATGCCGTCACACTGCGACCACTGAGCGGCGGTGCAAGTCGGGGTGGTAGCCGTCGTCGTTGTCGCGGGGGGCTTGGTGGTAGTCGTCCCCGGGGCCTTAGTCGTCGAGGTCGTCAGGGTCGTGCCCGGCGTGCCAGGCGAGGACGACACCGGCGGGGTAGTCGAGCCTCCGTCACAGCCCACGCGCGACGAGCTGATGACAATGTCGTCGTACCAGAAGGTGTTGGTGTCACCGCCGTAGGACTCCCAGCCGAAGTACACGCCCGAGGGCTTGGGCTTGATGGAGCTGCGCTGCCATTGGGCCGCGTTGGCGTTGCCGTCGCCGGGCTTGCTGGTCAGGCCGGCGATGGCGTTGCCGTTGAGCCAGGTCTCGATGGACCCGTCGGTGCCGACGTGGTACTCGAAGCACTGCCACGAGCCGGTGGGCAGGGCGGTGGATGCGGCGATGCCTTGAGGGGAGAGGTCGGGGAGGGTGGCGTCGTCGGACTCGCGGTTGTACATGAGGATCTGCGACTGGCCGCCGATGCGCAGGTGCTTGTTGCTGCCTTGTGCCGGGTCGGGCATGGTGATGAAGGAGACGTGGGAGGAGGTTAGGGCCTTGGAGGCTTTCCTACAAGCAGAGTCCTATTAGTCTCTGAAAATCCTTTTACTTATTTCAAGTACTTAAAAACACTTACAGCCACGTCCGGACATAGAGGTCCCCGCTAGGGACCTGCGTCGTGCCTACGAACACATGCCCGCAGTAACCCCCCGCACCGTCAACACGGATCGAGTTCTTGCCGCTGTGCGCCGTCGTCGAATCCAGCGTCACGCTGCCGCCCTGGTTGCAGTCGGGGGCGTAGATTGGCCACGCAGACTTGTCCCAGCCACTTTCGAAGTCGTTCGACACCTGGGCCGACACCAGCGGCACCGTGGCCGCGCAGGCGAGGAGGGCGGTTTTGTGGAGCATTGTGGGTGAGAGGTGATTATTATGGGTTCAGGGATGACGAGAAGGGGGAGGAGACAGAGATGCTCACAAAAGAGGGACATGATCCCCTATTTATTTACTTCCGGGAATTGCCTTCCCCGGAAACTCGGCTCCCCAGATCCACCGTTCCATTCGCACTAGAAAGCTTCTTTGCAGGCCCATCTCAAACTGGAAGTTCGGCGCCGGCGTGCTGTCATGCTCGAAAGGGACAAGACCCGGCCGCATCGGACCGCTACCACGATCCCTTTCATTTACCACACACTGCCCTTCAAACCCAACACGGTATTTTTAGGCCTCAAGCGTTTCGTCCCCGTCCCTTCCACAGCTTCGGCAACCCTTCTTCCCCACAAGACAAGCCAGGACGAGACAAGCTTCGGAGCTTTGGCAGCCGTTCCACTCCCGCACTTGTGCCCAGCCAGGTTAAACACCCCGGCTCGCCCCCTGGCGAATCCCAGTGCACATCCCGGCGACATGCACTGGAATGTAACGGTACGGAACTCCACCGGGGTTTTCCTCAGCGCAGATCAGCCTGTGTCGACCCGGTTTGCGGGTCGACATTTGTTGTCCTCCCAAAATGGTCTAGAACACGGGTTGTAAATAACGTTGCGGTGGCGGCAATGGGCGCCGAGAATCCGGGGGAAGAGGGTCCGTGGAGGTGCTGGTACATGTTGAACAAACGTTGGTAGAGGCAAAGGAGAAAAAAATCGAAGTAAAAGTAAAATTCATTTGGAGTAAGGATCCTAAAGAAACAAAAACCAAAATTGGCACGTAAGCACGTGTACTTCGACTTTCCGACGTTTGGAAGAGTTAAATCGTTGGCCTTGGGTCAACGATGACCGTGGGAGAAACGAAACAATCCCCACTCGCCTGCCGACCGGAACCACCATCTCCGTCGCAGGGAAAAGGACCTCAGGACCAGGACCGAGCAGGCTCAGAACAGGCGAGGTCGAACCCATCGTCGGTTCAGCAATTCAAGAGGCAAAACCGCAAAATTCAAGCGCTTATCAGGACGCTGAGAGAAAAATAAGCTTTTGTCACTTTTATGGCAGGGATTTCCTCTTTGATACCCTCTCGGGACTCTGTAGATTGGATTGATATCATCGCTGGACAGCCCGTGCGCGTCAACTCCCGGAGTGGCTGCCGTGCCAAGGCCCTATTTTCGACATGAATAAGAAGGCAGTTGCGACCGCTCATCAAGGCTGTATTGCAGTCTCTCGGGCACATTTTGGAGGGTTTAAGAGGCTGGTACCTAAACGAGGTTGTATGCCCAGGATATGTATTCTCACTGGTAAATTTAAGTTAAATAGGCTTCTCACTCAGGCAGTGTTGACGGCATTTCCTGGACGGAAAAGATCGAAGATATATATGCAGCCTGTCAAATTCTGGGGCGAGGAATCGACTAACAGGGTTTTATCTCGAACGCCTGTTCAAAGACCTCAACAGGTAAGCACCCGGTTTACATATACTTAGTACGACACATTTTCAAATCAACCATTCCAAATCTCATCAACAATCCCCACTTTCTCCCACCAAGCACTGTGATACCGCCACTGCTCTTTCAAAATGCTTGCCCACACCAGCCGAAATTCACCTTCTCAGCTTGCAAAAGAAGCAAAAATAAGCCAATCAAGAATGAATTACCAGCGAATAGATGCCATCCAAATACGACGACCCATCATCAGCCTTCCTAACCTTGGGCGTGCAAATCTCTCCTTTCACCTGACCGCCATCACATCGGCCGGTTCCTATCACACACCATCAACGTCAGCACACAATCATCTCAACCCAAAAACCAAACGAAGAAAATCAGACAAATACTCACCCGCCGTGCAAACCAAAAACGACGTAAACCCAATCTCCCCACTCTGGCCCGCCTCCACAGGAAAAGTCGTCGCATGTGTGTCCTGCACCGACTCGCTCATCTCAAAGCTCACGCCCAGCGACAAAATGTCGGCAAACCCAATGCTCATCGAGGTGGCGAAGGTCTGCGTGCGCGACTGGGTGATGGCGAACTCGCCTGGCCCGGACACCGCGGGGTGCACGATCTGCGTGTTGTCTGCGGGGCGGGTGTATTCGTCTTGGCCGGCGTTGGGCTTCCAGCTGTTGGCTTCGCAGCGGGAGCGGGTGGTTAGGGTGGTGGTGTTGTTGTGGTTGTTGTTGCCGTTGTTGCTGTTGTTTTTGTTGTCCTCGTTGTCCTTGTTGTCTACGGTGGGTTTGCTGTCAAGGCTGTTCGAGGGGGAAACGGCTCTCTCGGTGATGTGCCCCGTCTTCTCAGTTTCCAAGGTCCCTTCATCCCTGCTGAGGACCGGCGGACTTCCGATACGAATAGGCTCAATATCGGTACCGTTGGGGTACTGCAGTACCAGACTGTACATCCCGCTGGCAGCGGCTTCGATATCCAGCGACGATTCGCCGAACTTGGCCGACCGTTTCAGTAGCCTGGACGCTCCCGCAGCATTGCAGTCACCAGATCCACAACAGAACTGTACCATGAAGGTCTTTTCCAGGTTCAGCACGGCGCATGTGGGCTGGCTGAAGCTGGCGATCATGTACCCGCAGCCGGCGATGTCGGTGTTGGCTGGGGACTTGATGATGATGCGGCATTGATAGTCAAGTTTGGGGATATCAATGTAGGTCTGCCAGCCCCTGAAGGATGAGTGAGTCGTTAGTTTACTGCCATGGACTTCGAGCTCCGGCAATACTTACCCCCCGGGGGTCCCAGAAAAGTCCTGGTTGAACAGGACCGACTCAGTATCATACGTGACACAGTCCGGGTATCCGGTGCCGGCGTTGGTGATGCCAACAGGACAGTCGTTGCAGGTGTTGTCTTTGCACATCTTGTAGGTGCCTGCGTTGACGGAGGGTAGTGCAAGGGCAAGGAGCCAAACTGCGAGCTTGTTGAATTGAACCATGGTGAGCTAGAGTTTGTGATGCGAAACTGAGATTTTTGAAATGATTGTTGAGCTTAGGGTCTAGGGAATTTGCTGTTGTTTTTCTTCGAGGCCGTGGGTCCCATGGCGGTATTTAATGGATTTTTCGAGCCCATTTTATTCTCCCAATTGTTTTGCATCTCTAACAACTTCGTGGAAAGCATACAGAGCAACAAAAACCGCGCCGCGATCTGATGATGACTTGAAGATGTAATAGGTGGCGAGAGCTTTGTACTTTTACAACTGCATACCGGGCGAATGCACCAATTTACCTCCAAATCTCATTCTTTGAAGGTACCGCACGAGTATCAGTACCAGCGTTGTTGTTCATCCCCTTCAAAACTTTGTGTTGTCAAGTCAAATCCCGACTACTGTCGGTGTCGGTGTTGTTGGGGCCGACAACGCCGACATTTTTGGACAGGGATAGTCGATTTGGCCCCCAACTTTACTTAACCACAACTGCACCTGCATGGACCCAGTTCACGGAGGAAGAAACAGTCTCAGACGCCAAAATACGGGACGCCGTTAGAGCCTATCCTAGAGCAAAATGAAAATTAAACCTCAGCCCGTGACGAATTCGCAGGCTCGGCGTAGCTAGGCACCATTCAACAGCATGATGCTAGGCGCCGGCGGCGGCCCCGAAAAGGTAAAAACCGCGGGAATAGACATTCGCAGCGACCGATGTGTGAGACCATACTGAGGCTGTACTGGATGGAACATCCGCAGATCGCATCAACGGCATCGGGGCGAGGTTATGGCCGTCTCGCCGTCGCTTAGATTGGCCCTGCGAAGGTGTCGGGGCTTTCATGTAATGGTGACTTGGTTGTAACCGTGAGACATCAAGTAATTACAAGTGGTGATGGTTTGAAGTATTAATATGAACAAGTATCCCTACAGATTCCGGACCCTCCGACCCCCAGATCAACTCAACAGGCTCCCTCCAGCAGAATCCTACTTTCTCATCAATAACAGTTTTTTGTCCCCTCACCCAAAATGCGTCTCACTCTCTCGGCGACTCTCGCAGTAACCTTGCTTGCCCAGATCAGCAAGGCAAACTGGTAATCGATCTCCCGTTTCCTCCCCAAACCCACCACCGCTGGCATCATAAGTAATTACTAACCCTCTGGCCCAATTTTCCTCTTCTCAAAGGCTCGTCGACTTCTACGAGAAAGGCTGTCCTGCGCCCGACGGATCGAACGACGAGAACCTGGACATTATCTGGGGCACGGCCGGCCAGCCTGGCCAAGAGCTTTGGTGTATCGCCGTCGCTGGCGGTCGTACAGCAATTGTCCGGGGCATCGAAACCGATGGAATGAAGGTGGATATATTTTCGGAACGGGGGTGCGATCATACCAAGTACATTGAGACGTGGACTGAGGACGGCTGTTATGCGGTCCACGAGGGTGTCGATGTGAGTAAACTACCTGATTTCTGCAGTCCTGCCCCCATCCCCCTCCCCGAAGTTCATGAGGAATCTTGTAAGGGGTGGTTACTGATGATTGTCCCTCGAGCAGGTTCAAGCTGTGAGAGTTCTGCCCAAGGGATCGTGATGGAGGAGCGGAACAATCAGGAGATGGTTGGCTGTGTAACCAGTTAGAGTTGATGTTATTTACCTTGTCGTTGATTTGAACTTGAAATAAATTTCGCGTACTTGATCCCGAATACCATAATTTTTCGTAATGATTCCTACACCACCTACCTAAGTAACTTCATGTAATCAATTCGTCGCTGCCATTGTCTCAAATGCACGTAGACAGCGAGGATTAAACACCAAATCGCTGTATTACAATGATCAGCGTAACCGCAAAATCCATAACTTGACGCCACGATCTTGAACTTCTGCAGTCAAACCGTCTGTGTAACCGCTGGGAGCCGAGACACGATGCGGGGACAGGTTCGCAACCTACATTGTCACATGTCACACGTAGCGAGGGGCTCGCTGAGCATCAAATTCAGACTCCGATCGACAACAAAAGCCCCTCAGGCGGTCATAAAAGTGCACTAGCCAGATGATTCTCATCAACATGCTTGTTGTTGGCGGCCGGTTTCCCGTTGCGGTTCTCTGGTGGTCTTGGCCGTAGATCACATGGGGGCCGAAAACCTCTGGGCGAACGGAAAAGTCGGCTGTGTACTCGAGTATTTCGGGTTAAAACACGAGCTGGGCCAATGATATTCAACCTAACCATGCTCTAAGACATTCCCACTTTGATGTTGAAAGCCCATGACGTGTTGGCTCGTCTGGATGATTATCCCCGGCGGAGAAACAACCGACACCGCCCTGTTGGGCAGCTTTGTCTCGCAGGGTACAACAAGGAAACTCAGACATGACACCAGGAAACACTTTGGATATTCACATATAATAATCATCCGGGACCACGCGAAGTATCCCGCCTGTTCACACCTTTCTCTCTTTAAATTACACATCATCCAATCCTGTTTCCAATGACTATCTCCAGATTATCCACGGCTTATCAAGCCGATGCCCTTTTTTCGCCGGCGGCAGCCTCTTTCGTAGGCAGCTTCAGCGGTATGGGGTCACCCACCGGGCCATGGAACATCCCGGAAGCAACCTACAACGAAGTCCTAGACTCACCCAGCGCCGTGGGTAGATACACCCTTGAAGCTCCCGATATCTCAGTCCGGTATCCCTCTCCAGACCAGTTCGCCAATTGGACCCTCGCTGTCTCCGTCGCCTCCGACTTCCCCCTCCCTTGGAGCAACACGAATGAGGCAGAACAAGACACCACTTCAAACCGGACCTTTACAGCCACCCGGGTGCGCTTGACGCCTCCTGCAGGCATCGATGTGGACAGCAGCTGGGAGGTTTGCGTGCTGAATTGGGACGTCAACCTTGAGACCTACCCAACTCAGCTTCGCATCGACGATGGGACTTGCACCAGTTTTCTGAGCGAACAGTGCATCCGTGACGTGGAACAGTCCGTCCTGGTTGGGCGATGCAGCTGCCCAAATTTGCGGGAGATTGAGTCCTGCGGGGACGGACAAGCTGATCTGATGGATTCCATCGGCCCGGGTTGTTTCGCGAAGCGTACGACGCCCTAGCTTTTCTTTTCCCCTCTTTTCCTTTCCTCGCTTGGTCATTCCTCCTCTCATCTTCCATTCAACTTTCAACTAATCACACCACCCAGCCTTCAACAAAACCACCATTGAAGAATGGCCCGCTCAAGGGTACAACGTCCGCGAATTCGGCGGTGTCCCACATCCCCACTCTCAGGGCACGTTCAACAACACCGCGTACGATGAGGTCGGTAGCCTAGCGTGGCCGGTCCTTCTCCGCTGGGGTCCGTCGCTTACAGTCAATGTTGCCACGTCAAGCTCCGGCGGTGGGAGCCGGACTAAGTTGACTTGTGCGCGGGCGAATCACGCGGTTGGTGGGAATAGTGTACCTGGGGTTCCCGGTGGTGATAGTGGCGCCATGAGCGTGATGGGGTCGAGCGGGTTCGTGCTGGCGGTAGCGGTTGTTGTGGGGTGGGTTGTCGGTTGGTCATGAGTTGGGAGGGTGGACGGTGGGTATTGGACGGTGAAGCTACAGTCCGACGGGTTTGGCTAAATGAACTTGAGCGCGACTTCACCAGGCGGTAATCTGCTCCAAGGGATCTTATCTCATTATCGCCTCTCAGATGGACTCAACCCCTCACATAGTAGTAGCTATGTCTTGCCTTGGTCGTTCTCGCTCGTTCCTTCCTCTTCTATATGCAGCCGCTGTTGCCTGTGAACACCAGTACCACCTGCATCTTATATTCACCGCCCCAGCATCAAAAAAAAGTCGACAAATGGTCGGTACAACAGCGGTAGAAAATATCCTAGATCCAAGGTACCCTCTACCATGATTTTCCGAATTCCTTCGTCATTGATGTAACCCTTTTCATTCAATGGTGGATCATCTTTTTGCTCCTCGAGATCAGCCGCCAATGAACTCTTAACTGCCTTCACTGGGGCTGTTCCGTATGTCCCTTCCGCACTGGGAAAGGTGAGGAGCGATGTTTTGTGCAGAAATAAGCCGATGTCGGTATCCATGCGTCGGATGAGACTTTCGCTGAGGACCATGCCGGGTTGGATAGCCTCGTGGGGGTTTGCGGCAAAACCTCTCGTTTGGGATCGGCCACTTGTCCTTCGTGCAATTTGGCGAATCTTAAACTGCCGAGACTTTGGGGGAATCGTCGAGAGATGACAGGTTGGACATGTCTAGATACAGCCGCAGGTGCCAAGGTCAAAGGTCGCCATAGTAATGAAAGTATCTCCTGCATGGACGGTAATAGCCGAGGTTTTTTTGCAGTACTTTAGTAAGACTAGAGGAAAGTGAGAAAATGGGAAAGAACAATCAGCGTTGCCACAAAGAAATAAGTATCCTGGGACAAAGCAAACATTTGAGAATATGTTGGCTGTTGGGAGCCCTCACGTGGGTAACGGTAATATTACGTGTTTCAGGCGAGACACGGGACTCGCGCGACGGACAAAGGCTCAAGCCAACTGAATATCCCACATGAGGCTGTTGGTTGGTTCTGGACAAACTCCGTCAGAGACATGGCCGGGCCACACTTCGGAGCCTTGTAGTCGGTTGTTCATCGTCAAACCTTTTAAGGAAAACCAAGAGTTCCTGAATCAGGGCTGATTAAGTAGATAGCTACGAGCTACATCTAACTGGCTGTAATCGAGAGCGAAACCAATAAAGCAGACTACCCACCCCAGATCTACAAAAGAAAACCACCTTCATTACCCCAAAATACCCCATCTCCCCATCAAATCCCTCCCTTAAACCTCCCCCTTAAACCCCCCCTCCTCCGCCTTCGGCGCCCTCATCAAAATTGGCACAGTCAACACAAACACCGCCTGGAACCCAAACACCAACCACTGCAGCACCTGCAGCGTCGTCCCACTCTTGATCAAAACACTCGCATGCACCATGCCCGCAGCCGCCCACTCCAGCGCCCCAGCCGACTGTGTCGTAGACAGCGCCGCCGCGAATAGCAGCGACGTCGAGCCGTACAGCAGACCGTAGGTGCTACGGCGGATGATGACGCTGCGGCGGGTCCGCTCCCAGGCGTTGAGCTGGTTGGCGGAGTCCCGCTTGAGGAGGACGAGCCCGGCGAGGGAGAAGAGGAAGAGGACTGCGGCGCCTGCGAGGACGGAGATGAAGTTGCGGGATTGGAGGTTTATGGCCGTTGTGACCATGTCGGTGAGCTCGGCTTTGCCGGGGGTTGCGGGTGCAGCTGAGGCGGCCCGGGTGGTGTGAGAGGAGCCTTTGGTGTTGTTGTTGCTGGGGCCGCCGGCGATGGTAGGGAAGAGGTTGGCGGTTAGGGTGGCGATAGATTTGCCCGTGGTGGCCATGCAGCGGGTGCCTTCGTCATCGACGCCGCAGATGCCGAAGTAGTTGACGCGGACTTTAACGAGGGGGTCCGTGTCGGTGAAGTTAGTGTTGCCGTTGTTGGCCCAGAGATCGACGATGTAGATGTTGGGAATCGCGGGGGACGTGGAGAGGCAGCCGGTCAACGAGAGGCCTGTGAAAGGGGTATTAGTAGTTTCTCCCAACAATAAGCTCGGGATCTGAGTCAACTTACAGTAAAAGATAACGATGGGAAGAACGAGGAGATATGGCGCGAAGCGCAGCAAGCCCGCAGCTATCAACTGGTTAGCATCATTACCCCTTGCAGCAGGTTTGTTATCATGACCGGAGGCGAGCTTACGCTTGAAGTACAACTTGACCAAGTCGGTAACCTTCATTTTGTCGGTGTTTTTTGTTTTTAATTCGAGTCTAACCGAGGCACGAGAGCCGGTGTCGTGTGAAACGTAAAGACGGGTGAATAAATATTGCAATAAATGTTGACCAGCAACAAAGAATCAAGGAACAGCGAGAACCCGTGAACACCGTGAAGGAAACACACAAAGTAAGAAACCACAAAAAGGAAAAAAATGCAGCGTCGAGTCAGTCGGCCACCATTGACAATGGGATGTTCAAAAGAAACAGAACAAAACATCAGAACAGCTCCGACTAGCAGAGCAACCCTTCTAAATACTTTCCTCCCTTTCAAAACCGAGACCGCCCGCAACGAACAGTTAATCTACCACTCGCGCTCAAAACACAATGAAGCGATCAAAGTGTCCACTCCATCAAGCGCGGCGTCGCATGTTTGAGGCTCTCACAGCCTATAGTCGCAGTTTTCTCCGCCAGCAAACACCAACCGATTCGCTCGGAGGCTCCTACAGGGAAGTCGCACCGTGGACTCGCCGTTTGACGAGGCGCCCTGCGGGACCAAGACCGCCAGGAAGCGCGCAGCCAAGCGTGGGGGAGTTGGCCAGTCGCGGTGCTCCGGACCTGGCTGCGGGAGGGCCTGGGGGTTCTCGATTCGCGCCTGGGCGGGGCGGCGCTTAACGGAGCAGATTTTGACATGTTTTGAGATCTTGCCTGCGACAGGGATCTGCGAATGGAGATAACTGGTTCAAGACGTTTTGCCAAGCCCTCTATTTTTAGTTGATTGGTTCCACTTGCCTTATCGAGAGGAATGTGGGAAGTCGAGCCAATCATTGGCGTGCAAGGCCTGTGTTGCAGTTTGCGTTGAACAGCGACAAGTCTGTCAAGTTGTCGAGGCGATTTATTCCTTGAGGGTGAGAGGATGACAGCCGTGTTGTCCAGGATTTGCAGGATTCCTGGACGAAGATGTTGGGACTCACGGGATCAACCATCGCCCCTTTGCAACGCATACGGGAAACGAGATCAATGCTGGTCCCTGCTCAGATTGGGCAGGCGATTGGATTCGTTTCGTGGATATTCAGTCAGTCTGTCGAATGAGAATCGCCAAGACCTTTGTCACGGTTTGACAGCCGCAGAATCGTGCATTGCGTTTTGACCCTGCTAAGCTTCGGAGACCTGGCGGTGAAGTGAATCCGGAGGTTCGAGAAGGTCTCGGCAAAGCGATCCTCGCTCGTGTCGGCCACCTCGAGGGAAGGTTTCCGCCGGTTTAGGGAAATGTGCCTGCCCATCTATTGTTATGAACACTCATGCGGGAGATAAGGGTTGATCTCTCACCTTCTAGACTGGCCGATATGAGACAATTTGGTCCTTTGCACCACCATGGGTTACATTACACTAGGTGTAGGTACAAATCTCATCCGTCCCTACGCTGGATTGTCCAATCTGGCCGCTGGTTGATTGTAAGCAGGCAGCTTTGAGACCGGGCACTGGCCAGAAACTTCAACGTTGCCTGATCAACGGATTGAAACGGAGAAAAGTCCATCGAGAAAAAATTTACTTCTTCAGTCCCGTAAAAAACCTGAACCTTCGACGTGACGTTCCAGAAGATTACCGCCGCATTCAAAGCCCAAAATCGCGCTTCCGATGAGGACGGCGGTTACACAAGAAGGATCCGCCGCGCGCATAATCAAAATGAGCGGAGAAAACCGGCCCCGATATCTTATTTCGTCACGTGTTGATCACGCTCTGTCAGCAGCCACGACCTGCGTCGGCCAAACAGAGTCGTCCCTGCCCATGCTGCTCAGTGTTTGGAACGTGAACCCCGAAGAGCCGCATTCAGGCACCCAGGCAGGCACACAACGTTTGGTGTTTCGACCAGAGACAATCCCACAATGCAAAAAACAGGGTCAAGGGTGCGCCCGATGAGCCAACGCAAGCCCTTTCCGCCTTCCGCCTTTCCGCTGGGCAGAACGGGTGGGGCAGGGAAATAGGGCGAACGAAGGCGTCGGTCGGGCCCTGCGCGGGCAAACATTGTACACAGTGCCCCCCACACTGTACCGGGGGAGGTGTGGATGTAACAATACGATGTCAGGGCATGATCGAGCCCAGCATCCTGGGTGCAACGAAGCTTGTAGCTTGTCCCGTTGTCCTCACACGCTGGATTGTCCAGGTTTTGAACCAAGGCAACCTCGAAGGCGGGTGATAGCCCCACCAAGGGACAAAACACGATATGGGCGACCAACCAGGCGGGTTCTGTTTACCGAAAACCCGTCTTCGAGGTCCTGCGAGCCGAGAGCGCCCGCGTTGAGTTCAGAGCGGGAGGCCTCCTTGGGCGGGTGAGTTGGCGGGTCAGTTCGCCTTGAAAAAAAAAAATAGGTCGCGGCGACCGAAACGAAACGAAACGGTGTGTGCTCGGACGAGCAGGCGGGGAGAAACTACACGTGTCTGGGAAAAAAGCAACAAGCACTCGAAAACAAAGAGGATTTGCACAAGGATGAAATGGGGTTGCGGGGAAGGGGCGAAACGGCTGGAAACAATGAAACGCAAGAGGCGAAATCTTTGATTTTCAAGATCTCGCGCCGCCGCTTGCAAGCGGGAACTCGATGGTGGTTCCGACGCAATGGGACACACATTGCATTGCCGCGGAGATTTCACGAAGCCCGTTGAGCTGGGACAGCCCGAGAGGGGGAAAACGGCCTTTTTTTTCAGTGAGCGAGCTATGTACCGATGGACCGTGCCGTCCCAGATTGTCGCTGCCGTTCTCACTCTGCCAATCAAGTCTGTCAATCCATTCTTATCCAATACCAATCTGGGAAGGGGGCAAAAGAACTGTGCAGCGCCAAGATGAAACAAAAGTACCCAAACGGTGAGAAGGAAGCTGAACCCGTCAACTTGCCAGGCCGGTGGGTTTTGGTGTCAAAGTGGTGGTGGAAGAAGAGAAAAAAAGGAAAAAGGCTTGCTAGAAGAATTAAGGAAAACAAAAATCGTGCTTAGATCCGCCAATCCCCCAATTGTAATGGTGAGGTGCTAGGTCGTGAAATATTTGTCCGTCGTACAAGTCGGAGGTAAAAAAAAACAAAAAAAAAAAAAAGAAAAGAAAAGGAAAAGAAAATGTCCAAAAAATGAAACGAAATAACCGCTCCGTAACCCATTGTGCCCGGCCAACATCCGCTCCACGAGATTTCCCCCTTGTGCCGTGAAGTAGGAGCTTGCCAACTTCATGTTCCACCCATAAGGTATGCAATACTGTGCCTAATGATCAAAGCCAAAAACCTCCCCAGGTACTTCGTAGTGTAAACAAAAGAAAAGGAGCGGAGATGAGCATCGATCTGATGCAGGGGTGGGATAGGATAAGATGAGATGGACCGTCCCGTCCGAATCCCGGCGAGTCGTCTGATCCGATCGCCTAAGCCCTCCTCCCCCGTCCCTGTCCACCTCGATCGGGCAGCCCCTGTCCGCTATGCACCTGTTGATCATGTTGCACCAGGTTATCCATCCTGTTGAACTCGGAGCCGCAGTTGGTGATTGGGCACGGAATCATGTCTGGCAGCTGCTGGAACGTGTTCTCTCGGTGCACGTTCGTGGCGTAATGCTTTTTCACCCTGTTGCGCAGGCTGCTGCTGCCGTCGAAGGCCCTGGCGCAGGGCTCGCAGTAGAACCCCTTAATTTTGGGCGAGGTATCGTTTCGGGCTTTGCCTCGGGAGGTGAGGGCTGCCAAAATGTCTGCCTCGCAGGCCATGTGGGCTTCGGCTTGGATTTCCTGGGGCTCGGAGAGCAAGGGCCCGGAGAGCAAGGGCTGAATGAGGATTTGCGGGTCGTAGAAGTTGGTGTTCATCAGTCTCTGGTTGACTTCCTCTGGGCTATAATCCGCAACCTCACAGTTGTGATGAGGCTTGTGCTGGCCGAGCTGCGGCTGTATTGGCCGGGTGAGCTGCAACTGAGCCTGCTGTAGGGCATTGTGCAACCACCGTCTCTGCCTGGGCTGCCTTCTTTCTCTCCGGTCACTGGATCGAGCCTGTGTTCTTCGCGACTGTTGCTGCTGCTGCCGCTCCTGCTCTTGCGATTCTTGGGACATGTGTAAGTCTGTCCCATACCGTGGAAGCTGTAGGGGCATTCCGGACGGCGGCGAGGGGTACGCTGGGTCGCCCGCTCCGGTAAGTTCCTCCTGATAGACTTGGGCGAGGCCGGCGTTGGGCACGGCCCTAGCGTCTAGGTTGGCATGCGCACCCAACCCCATCAAGTTGGTGTTCATATCCTCGGCGTTGGGGATAGTGTTTGCTTGTTGGCCTTGGGGGTCAAAACCAGGGGGGGTAACGGGATGAGGGTCGAAGGTCTCAGGGGTCGTCGGCAAAGTCCCGGAACGGCCCGCGCCGTGCACGGAATGGTTGTTGCTGTGCATGCTGTGCATGCTGCTGGTGGCCGAACCAAGCGACTGCTGCCGGTTCTGCGGCATACTACTTCCGGGGCCGGTCCAGCCCAACAGAGAGGGCTGACGCTGGAAGGCGGCCCGGGCTCTTTCGGCCTGACCGGGATACATCACCGGCGGTGCATTTTTCATGGCCGTCATGTGCTGCGCGGCTTGCTGATTCGGCATTGCGGCGGGTTGCTCCAACGATGTGAAGTTTCCGCTGCTGTCCAGAGGGTGTGTCTGCGGCGACCTAGCTGGGGTGCCATAGGTAGCGGCGGGGGCAAACTCGGAAGCAAGGCTAGAGTTGCGATGCTGCATCATCGTCGCAGGGCTGATAACAGAAACCGATGAGCTGCCGGGAAGTTCTGCCGGGGATTGGGTCATGTTGATCGCAGGGTCGAAAGGGTGCTGCCAGGGGATATCTTGGTAATATCCTTGTTGTTGTTGTTGCTGTTGTCGTTGCTGTTGGTGTTGCGGCTGATACGGATTCGCCGTGAACACAACGACCCCGGTGCCACGTCTCGTAGAAGACGGTGTGGGGTATCCCTGGGACACAGGCGTGGACACGCTGGTCCCAAAGCCGGCGAAGTTCGAGGATCCTGCCGACGAAAGGCTCGAAACGAGGCTCTGGGGGGAAGGCTCTGGGCCGCCAAACATTTGTCGCGATATGGGGCTGATCTTCAACGGCGGCACGGTTGCGACACGCACTGGGTGGTGAATGTCGCTATGCGGGTTGTACTGGGCATGAGCATGAGCAACTTGTCCAGATGGAAGCTCAGAGGGTTCGGGATATTGTGGAAGTTCGGCCGGGAGTTGGGAGTGCGTGCTGTTGTTGTCGTCAACGTGTTGAAAGCTATTGATCGAGTACGTGTATGAGGTCGAGTGGCGGTTCGATCTCCCGTCCGAGAGAGATTGGGCACCTTGCTTAAGACTGCGGACGAGAAACTTGGTCAGTCTACCCCAAGTCCCTTGCTTGCTTTTGCATCGGCATGGGCATCGTTCCAAATGGGCCAGCCGGGACCGGAACTCGGCATACCGAAGATCGCACTGGAGTTTGGTTTCAAAGCACGACCTCGGATCATGAGGTCTAGCGTCCACTTAGATCGTCTAGTGCTTTGATACGAGAGGGAAGGGGGGTAGGGGGCGAATACTTACGGTTCTTGTTGATAAAACGATGATGCAGATGTGGCAGATGGCTCCAGAGCTGTGTATGGCGGCAGTGCTGGAGATGGGAGCATGCTAAAGTCTGACACCGCGGACTTCGGGGACATGTTGTAGTGAGCCGAAGTGTTCGGGTCCATATTGGCGAGGGCAGGTTTGGGTGAGTGTGTGTCGCTGTGTGTGTGTGTGCGTTTCGCAAAGCAAAGGCAGTTGTTTAACAGAAGAGGCCAGAAGATCGCGGATGCCAGGTTCGAGAACAAAACACGGATATGTCTGGTCTAAATACTGAGGGGACGGCGACCCATGAAGTAGGTTCTTTAGATATCTTAGGATGGTGAGGACGGGGACAACAACAAGAACCGACAATCATGTTAAAACTGCAGGGTCGGCAAGGACATCGGGTGACTCGGAAGCCGTCAAGGACCTTGGGGACGACGGGTTATAATCACGAGGAGGGTGAAGGTCCAGGGAGGACGGTTTCAATCTCCAGGTCTGGCCGCCTGCTGACGACATCAAGGTTCAATCACCGTTATGAGCTGCGACTATTTGACGGGAGACTGGTCGCACGGAACAAAAGGTGATGGGAGGAGACCTGCCAACCCCCCCGGCCGCCCAGTCTAGTGAGGCGAGCCGAGGAGGATCCATGATGCGCGTTCCCGGTGGGCGTGCTGGTCGGTGGAGGACCTGATGGACTGGCATGGCAACCTTCGCAGCCGAAGGTTCGCGTGGTCAGACGCCTCGTTCTACCCTTGGCCCAACAAGTATCTGTCTCGGGGGAGCATGGTTGGGAAACCGACCGCGGTGTCGCGGCGATCGAGGGTGCGCGGCGGGATCTGATCTGGTTCGGCAGACGAAAAAAGAGAAAATAGGGCTGCAGGACAGAAGGAGAAAAGAGAGAACAAGGCCAGGGAAAGAGAAAGGGGGGGGAAGGCGGGGTGCAACTTCGCACGATCTCTCGGCATTCGTACTGTGTACCTCGACCGTTTTGCCCTGGCATCTTCTTATGTGGAGCAGCGAGTACTCCAGGGGCAGTGATAAAACCACAACCCACCCGAGACTCGCCGCCTGTCAACAAGAAGAGGCCGGGCGTGCGTGGCTAGGAGAAAAGGTAAAGGAGGGGTGTGGGGCACGATGCCGGGTTACCCATGCTGCTGCTCCGGGGAGACGCAACGACCCCAAGACCTTTCGAGTGCTGTCAAGGTCCATCATCTTCGGACCTGAGACCGCGGGTTGCTGGTTGGGAAGGGAAAGCGTGAGCCCGGGCATGGGCGCTCCCATGGATCGGCCCTGCTTGACGGGCGTTATCCGAATTGACGGGCGTTATCCGAATCGAAGGGTTCGGCGCGGCGGGGGGGGGGGGGGTGAGGAAGGGAGGAGTGATGGGATCTTTGATCAAAAAAGCGGTCCGGTGAAGCAGGCGTGGGAAGCGGATGTAAGACTGGGCCGGGCAACATCACCGTTCCAAAACCCAAGCAGAGAGCCCCGGGCACGCTAGAACGAGGGAAAGTTGATTGTTTTATAAACTGCCTAGTACCCAACCTTGAAAGCACTGCCTCACTAATATCTTTCAGCTTGTCCTCCAACTAGAACAAAATAACACCCTTCTTGCGAGGCTTAGGCGTTCTCTCGTCTGCATCCCAGGTCGGCCCCGAGAGTTTAGCGGCAGCAACAAGGGAGGGAAGTCCAATCAACTTGCGGAAAACGCAGCCTTGCCGCAAGACGCTGCTGCGGCCATGGTCTCGTCGACGGGTTCGCCCATTCAAAGCCGCAGACCGACCGTCCAGATGCGTTGCAGTGGGTGTGGGGGGTTGAGACTCGACCTCAGGGCCGCATTTGGTGGAGGGGGTTGGGGTTGAGACAGCGCTTATTCCGGCTACTCTGCGGTTTCCGTATCCTGAGCAAAACTCCCGTTACGAGAGTTTGTGTTTCTCGAAGACGAGAAGGCTAATCCGGAGAACCCGGGGAACAGTGGAATCGGTCTTGGTGGAAATCACCCTCTCACTTCCCCTGAGGAATTAACGTGAAGAGCCCGCCCATGGACCGGTAGGCATTGCTCGAAACCGGTCAATCAGTTGAGTCCAGTTTTATTGCCCGGCTGGTCTGCAAAAGGTGGAAGGGGCTGATGATATCGAACCTTCCCCACTCGCTTGTGTGGTGGGTTGTTGGGCTGGGCACTTATGATTGGCCGCTGTCACGCCGCACTAATGCCGGCCTGCAAGCTGCGACATTCATCGGATTCGGGGCAAAAGGGATGCGTGGGAATGACCAGCGCCATGCATTCCGCCAGGGGCGGTGGGACAGGGTTGTCGAAGCGCGCGGCGAACCCAAACCATATTTCCTTGTTGTGGTTTGATGGCATCTGGGCGGGAACAACCGCCCTCCTTGTTCCTTGTTCCTTGTTCCTCCCGGCCAAGGACTACTATGTATCCCCAACCCGGCCGGTCAAGGGGACCACTGCAATGGACGCTGGGCGCTGTCGCAAAAACGCTACCGGCCAGGGCACGCGGACCTTGAGATTTCGAGACCTACTTCTCAACTGGAGGGTAACCTTAAGTCTGAAAGTCTCCTTCGTACGAAGGAATACCAAGGCGGCTTCTCCAATCCGGCGCGTTCATTGGCGCACAAACGGAGGTTTAGATAAGGGGGGATGAGAGTGCTGTGAAAAAAAGAATTGAATACCTAATGGAAAAGGTTCTAATCAGGCTTTGCTGTGAGGTTTTGTTTATTGTGGGTAGCGCCCGGCTACCTACCACAGGGCTTTTCTGTACCATGGACGCCATGACTCAAGCGGTTGTTTTGCTCTTGATCGGGGGAGAGTTTCGGCCTTCGCCAAGGCGCCAGCCCGGAAGGAACGATTTGACAATAAACAACGTGACTGGCGACAATGGAGGAGAAGGACCGAAGGACTCAACATTTTTTTTTTGGACACATCGCAGAATTCCGCATCGGACATAACGTACTATCTATCGATGGACGGACGTTAATTACGTGTGGACAAACAACGGTCTCCCCACACAAATTACTCCACATTATGCGCTACTCTTGAACATCCTTTGTTTCTTCACAGCAGCCTTTTGTGAGCTTATGTCTCACCATTACCGGTGCTGCCTCTAACTAGTGTCCTTACGTTCCATGGATACGCATCGCGGGCTCTCCACCCTCCCGTTGCTCCCAACGCGCGCTCGTTTCATTGTCGCGATCCCTTCTCTTTGTTGTTCACGGCCCGCCTTTCCCGCTTCAACGCACGCGTGGAACTCTTCAAGAGCACAAATCCCGAAAATTAGTTCAGGGATCCGCGGGGCCCTGACATATTGGACGCAATTGAGACAAAGCATGACCCCAGCTTCCCGCTGCAAGACATTCCACGTTTCTTCAATCGTCCCGACTTTTGGAGGCCTCATATCATAATGTCTGGCGGGAGCTCTGCCAGAGCCCGCTTCAACTAAAAATGCGCCATACCAGATATGGTGCCGCTAGCCTACCCTTACCACCCGCGCTAGACCGACCCGGGCAAGCTGGCGGCGCAGCCTTTTCGACTTGGTTGCGCAGTCCTCGTTCACACCGGAGCCCCAGGAGCGGGACCGTCAAACCCGAGCGAACCAAACACAAACCAGGAAGCCAGGCTTTCCATATCAACCATTCGGCATCTGTCCTCAATTGAGCTGCTTTCGCGGCTGCGGTGGAACGGGAACACAGCGGGGTGTTCGTCCGGTTTATTTGGCCACGGGGGCTCGAAAATATGGGGCTTCATCACTCCAATCGCCCGTCGAATCGTGCTGGCCCGGCATGCGGGTCGTCGGTCGGGGGCAATCAACTTGCAGGAGAAGCGTGAGGCCCCCAACCCGGTCCCCAAGGCAGGCAGGCTTGCTGCCTGGGCTGGCTGCCTTGCTCGTGGTGCGGGCTGTCGATTGCGCAGTCTCCCGCAGTCTCCCCACCCTCCTCCCCAGACTTCCGAGAGGACAAACCCCGTTCCAGCCAGCCTTGTGGGACCCCAGACCCGTCTGACGACGGCTGTGCCCCCTTACCCCCCCTTGTGTGTCCTTCTATGTGTGTTCTCGCCCCTCTCTTCTTTTGTGACCAGCATTGCGCGAGTTTTAAAACGTGAAAGCTGCCCCTTCTTCTTCCAGGATCTTCTTGACTTTATCATCCCAAGATTGATCGCCTGCGTCGATTTTGGTGGTGTTACTGTGCGACCCTCGCCCTCAAACAGAACAATCGCCAATATCATGGCTTCGACGGAGGATAGAGGCAGAAGCCCGATACGGGAGATGAATGACATCGATGACGACGACGTTACCGTGTACAGCGACAGCGACAGCATCTCAGACATTTCCACGTCATCATATCACTATTTTCCGATGCGGGATACTCAAGATCACGCCCCGGTGTTGTAAGTATCTCTCACAGAGACTTTCCCGTAGAGTGTTCTGAATGCTAATTCTAGCCGTCAGCCGCTTGAAGAGAGGGGAACAGAACCGTCCCGCCTACGAAGCTTGGAGCATCTACTACTACCCAAAGACGCGGGAGCAGATTGAAGGCCACAAAGTCCTCGGGATCAGGGCCGTTAGCCTCGTGGATGAAATCCCGAGCCGTGTAGAGTTGAGGCGAAAGCCGTCCACCCAAAGCGAGCTCTCGGACGCCCACCTGCAGGCGATTGAGAAATTCCAGGCGACGCACAAGCGTAGCTGGGCGGCCCGGCCCTTCCTTGGCGGCGGCAAGACGTACGAACACGACCTCGACGAGCGATGCCGAAAGGCGCCCGAGGAAGTCCGGAAGACTCTTAACGACCTCCTCTTCGACAGGGGTCGGTCGACATCCACCCGCTACCGGACACGCACCTGGACCGTGGTTAGCTTCCGAGAGCAACTGCAGGACCGCTTCGCCCAGACCGACTTTACAGATGTCAAACGCCACAAGGTGCGGTTCTGGAAGAACCCCAAACCCCGGGATCACTTGTTGTACACGGTGATCATCCGCGGTGCCGAGACCAACGTTGTTCCGCCCGGGGAAGACGGCTTCAACAGCTTCTCACCGACGGCCAATCCCTGGGTGCAGTCGGACAACCTGGAGAGCAATCGTCGGGAGCGTGCGAGACGCGAGCAGCGTAATGCCCTCCGTCAGAAGCGTAGGAGCTTCCGCCCTCCGTATCGCGCGCGGTCGTTTTCACCAGTGATGCACACACGCACGCGCTCGCTATCACACCGAACACGTACTCGTTCCTTCTCGCCGCCCTCATACCGCAGCTGGCGAAGCAGCCGCTACGACTCCCCATCTCCGTCCCCATCTATCCGGATTCGTTCGCGGAACGACTCACCCCCGCCCTACCGTCGCTCGCCACGTCCGACTTCGCCCATCCGGATCCGGAGCCGGTCGCCGAGCAGCCGGTCGCCCAGCGTCCGCATCCGTGTTCTCCCCCGCCAGAGCCCGAGCTTCATCCGCGATGAATCCTACCCCCGCCGCCCTCGCGAGCCGCCCATCCCGCCGTTCCGCCCCTTTGACTCCACGCTCCCGCGCCCTACCGAGGAGTACCGGCCCCTGCCGCACAACTGCGACGCCTGCCGTGACCCCCGCGTCCGCCCCTGCGTACACTACCCCGCTCACCTCCCTTGCCGCCGGCCCATCATGTTCAGCCCTACCGGGCCATACCACCTCGCCTGCGTCACATGCCCTGTGAGCGACCCCTATGGCTTCACCCCGCACGTTGAACCCGAGCCCCGGAACCCCCACAGTGGTGTTTGGCCGGCACCGTTTTACCAGCACCCGCCGCCGCCTCCGCAGCCGTACTTTGGTCATCCACCGCCTTTCCCCGGTGCTTCTTTCCCCCCGATTTCCGGTCCCTGCCCCCCTGCTCCGCCGATCCGCCCGATGAGCTGGATGTCTGGGTATTCAGGCAGCCAGCAATCGTCGATCGGGCCGATGCCGCCTGCGCCGAACCCATTCTCCCCGCTATCGACCCCGCCTCTGACAAGCGCCGGTGGATCGAGTGCGGGTGGGTCGAGTCCGTCGTTGTCAGCGGCATCGAGGGTGAGGACGCCGGTGCTGGTGGGTGTTGTGGAAAGTAGTGAGACTGCCGTGGAGGTAGTGGATGATGCGGAGAGGCGCCGCGTGCGGGCTGGGTCGCCGGGTATTTCGGTGGTTGGATCGGAGTAGGGTGGTTTCTGGGTCGGTTATTTTTTGTCAAGGGTTATGGGTTGGGAGAGCGAAGGCGGAGTTCGATGGGCCATTTTTGGGTGGGATGTTGCTCGTGTGACCTTGGATGATGTGACATGATCATGATGATTTGTTCTTCTCTTCTTTCTTTAGTTTCTATGGTATCTCAATTTCAAATTATTTCAGATATTTTACAGATTGAGAAATTGAAATCTGATATTTTACCTGATCATTCAATTCAGCAAATACATGTGAATAGTAATGAGTGAGTTACGATGAAGCTTCGGATGAAAGAAAGATAACCAGAACGATAAGCCCCACATTTTGATCAAACGTCCCCACATTTCAACCTCAAGAAAAGTGGGGCCCCTACCTGCAATCCTCGATTGGCGAAAAATTTCCCAAAGTCCAAACCGACTCGAAGCGCAAACTCTCCTTTCATCACCATCACCACATCCAAACACCTCCCACCGCTCCAACCAACCGCCGCTCCCAACTCCCCAACCAATCCGAATACCCCACCCGCCACTCACCCAAAATGCATCTCATGTACCTCCCCGAGGCCAACGGCTCCGGCCGGCGCTACACTCTCAAGAAGGTCATGGACGGGCAGGTGACCAAGTCGGCGCACCCGGCGCGGTTCTCGCCTGACGACAAGTGGTCGCGCCATCGGATTGCTGTGCGCAAGAGGTTTGCTGTGCTGTTGGCGCAGAAGAGTATGTTTTCACAATGTCCTTCTTGCCTTGTGGTGCCTTTGGAAGGGGGGCTGGATGGAGATGTGTATTGGATGGATGGATGGGCGGAAGAATGAACGAATGGGATGCTAACGATAGGTGGTGTAGAATAAATTGGCGGACGATTTGACGACTGCGGACGACGTGGCTCTCTAGAAGGCAGGTCGCCGGCAACCCTTCGATAATACCGTGGTCACCGTGAATAGCCGAAAGACATTGAATCCGATCCCGATTGGTTGTCAACAGCAGCCTTAACATTGGTTCAGCGCTCTTAAGGGCGACGGCCGGCTACGGGACGTTATTGCTGGGTACAGCGAGCACAGTGTTCCTGCTGTGCAAGGAGTTGTGAACTCTTAGAGGAGTCTATGCTTGGGGTGATGATATGAGGAAGTGCTTTACGCGCCGAAGACACCAGGCGAGGGTTCGAAAAGCAATTGGGCGTTGAGGCTGGGGTTTTGGCATTATACTCACGGCGTTATTTGGGCTTGCTCCACGCATAAAAATGCATTATTTTCGTACCACATAAGGAGCCGACCCGTCTCACGGTTTGTGCCAGGTTACCACGTTCCTTTACTCGGATTCCTTAAGTCTATCTCTGCATTCTACTCACCTCCGCTTCTTAGAATTAACATTCCGCCCTGCACCAACCTTGATCCTGCCATTCCCTGGTGCTCTTGCGCCCCCCAAAATGCTCGGCAAATAATCCTGGTCCATGATATCGCGCGTTTTCAACCGGCGCTCCTCATCCAACTTCTTAGTGTACTCCTTCTGATCCTCGGCCAAGATCAACTCCTTTCCCCATCCATTCTTGCCCCCGCCCTTAACAGTGTTGCCCTTCCCACTCGCCGAACCATGAGTCGGCTTGGGTATGCTGAAGACGTTCCCGCGGTTGTTATACTGGAAATTCTTCTTGAGGTGGAGGGTGAAGTTACCGCCGGCATCGGTGCTGCACGAAACCCGCGTTAGGGTAGGCTGGCCGCAGGAGGGGCAAAACTGCTTCGACATATCTCGGCAGACTTTAAAGCAGCCGTGGCAACGCAGGACCCATGTTTTTAGGTAGGTGATGCGGGAGAACCCAGAGTCCAGGAGGCTATAGTTGTCAGCATTGCTTTGTTGCATGGCTAAGAGGTTAACAAACGTACTTCAGGTTTATCCTCAACGCTACGTTCCGCATTGCCATATCGCCCGTGATCAAGGCGGACTGCAGCACCCGTTGTACCAGCTGGGGATCTGTGTGTGCGTTTTCGCGTGCCTGGTATTTCTTGATGTTGCTCGGGGCTGCCAGAACCTGTTAGCAAGGGTCTCTCTGGGCGGGGGATCAGTGCTCTCATACTAATCCATTCCCCAGCTCCGTCATCCTCGTCCTCCTCCGTTGACGGTTCATCTTCTGCAGTAATTTCTGCGGGTGCAGTCTCGTCCAGAGTGACATTTTCCAGCTCTTCCGCGACCAAGTCTGTCGTGGCCTCATCGGTGGAGGGGGCTCCATCTGTCGCTGTTGGTGCGGCCTCCTTTTGTTGGCTCGAAGGTTCGGACTCAGGAGCAGCAGATGTTTGTTCCGTATTAGGTGTGGTTTCCGCCACGCTGTTTGTTGGCCCGTCGGCACCATCCTCCGTCTTCCCGGGTGGCTTGCCATTTACTCCTTTCTGGTTCGGTTCTCGCCGCAATCGCCACTATATCCATCGTTAACGTCCGCAATTTTAGCCTCCCAATGTTCTGTGACATACATCTCCCCCATTCCTCTCGACCTCCAAATCGTACGTTAACGCAAGGAGGTGGATATCGGGTTTCGACAAGACTTGGAGGTCACCAGTCTTTCGCGCGAAAGTTGTGACAAACTGGACAGACTCGGGGCGGGGTGTTCGGAGTTTAAGGAAGGGTGATAGGGTCGTCTGAAACCGGGATCTCGTTGCCTCATCGCGAACTGTCAACAACAGTAAGGTTAGCGAGACGTCCAGGACGAGTGGCATCTCGGAATCCTACTCTCTGAGACCACAGCGGGAATGGTGTAAAGCTCTTCGGCCTGTGCAAGTAGCGTAGATACCGTCGGATCGTTCTTGATGATCGCATTGGCGTCTATTACGAGCGAGTGAATCAGCTTGGTCGGTGATGGTACCGCTATCTGAGGCAATGATGTTGGAAGCACATTTCCTGGCGTGGGCATGGTGGGGTTGGCGTTGGCGCTGTCGTTTTGCGCCTGAGCGGCTGGTTCGGTCGCAGGGTGATCCATTGTCGAAATCCAGTTTATAAAACGTCGAAACCGGGAACTTTGCGGCCCCTTGTTTATTGAAAGCGCCCTTAAGTCGACATAATTGCACCCAGGAATCTTTCGACCCCTCGATTTTCCAAAATTCAAGTGGGGCGTTCCGGCAGAATTCCACTTCCGATTCTGGACGGGCGGTGAATGAGAGAACCCACATAAACCTTAATTAACGGTCAGATCCCTAAGACTTCACAGACGGTTGTTATTCTCAGCTGGGACTCTCTTCTCAGCTATCACCCAAGTCGTCGCCTTCGTCCGCTGTCAGTTACAGAACCTGATGGCATCTAAAAATTGAAAACCACAGATCATACGCCTCGCGATCCAACTTTGCTAAGCCATTTTCCAGTTGCAGCTCGAGAAGCTTGCGCCAGTGGCCACAAATGTCCACCTTTGTTATGCACACGGCGACGTACCCTCGAAGATGCCCGTATGTCGGGTTGTAAGGTTCTACATCACCCTACTCACCATTGAAGATTACTACTCTCTATAAAACGCCCCCGCTTATCCTCCAATGTTCCAATCCTAGCAGTTTTCCAATCCCGCCTTTCTTAAGCTTACCGGACTTTACCTTGACATCCCATCTTCCTCGATCGAGTCACCAACATGGAAGCTCAGTCTTACACAGCCCTGGCATGGGCTGCTGGCTTGGCGCTCCAGTCTTTTCGAACTATCCCACGCCTATATGATCGTCTGGTCCGCCCGATCGGTCGACGTCTCGGTTTTGAGGACGTTAACGCCGAAGACACCGAGAATAATGAGCGTATACAAGAGCCCACCATAACCCACACCAACTCCATTGACCCCATGCCAATTGATGAATCCCTGGTTCCTCTTATTCGGCAAATCTCAGCCCCTCTTTTCCACGCAGGGACACGACCCTTGTCCATGATGAACCCATATCTTCAGAGGGTCCACACAATTACGACGAGCTGGGCTTTCGATTTGAAAACTACGCTCAGAGCTTGGAACACCAACAGGAAAGCCCAAGCGGTTACCCAAGAAATAGTGTTTCAGAGACAAGCTGGGATTGCACTTCGGTTTAAGAGGGAGTTTGTAAATGATTGGCTATACAATGTACAAGCACGGCATCGAGCATGGCGGCAGGAGATGGAGGAATTGGACAAAGCGATGGCAGGAGTAATCTCAAACTACGCCGTGCGAAGGGCAAATTAGGACTGATTTAAACCTCGCAGTGACGGCGGGGTGTGCGTTATGGTTGGAGGCGCGCGAGTAGGAAGTTGGTTGAGCTTGTAGTTGCAAGGGGGACGGTGATCTGCTCAAGTCAAAAATGTTGATAGAAAAATTTTGATATTTGTCACCGTAAAAGAGGAGTCGCCAAATGCCGCTGCAATTGACCCCTTCTGCTGTATTGTGACAATAGAAAACAAAAGAACGGTGTAAAACAACATGACGTCAAAAATGAAATGAGAGTGGCCTGGACGCTCGGCTGGCTTGTCCCAAAAGCCCGGGCATCGGAAACTTCCTGTTCATCATTGCCCACAAACGAGAAATATCACGTTACATACATGACTTCGCAGGGCACACAACATGGTTTGACGACTTGTCACGGGTCACGACGACGCAGCGGCGAGCGTCCCTTCACTCCGCCCCGGACTTTGGTGTCCCCAACCCCAAGTTCTCAATCACCCATTCTCCGGTTGGTCAGAACAACCGAAAACCTGCCCGATCGGGCAACGGGTGCGACTTGGGCCCTAACGGTGAAGTTGGAGACTGTTGGAGTCGAACCCGAACCCACTGAATCTGGGGTTACTGGCGCAGAAGACGTGTGCCAAGCCCTCCGGAGCTTGCCCGAAGCTGCAGATACGAGCCCGCCTCGTGGTCGCGTCATATTGGCGGCTCCAGGGGACGATGAGCGAACACAAGCACTTTGCGTCCTCACCGCGTCGTCAGCAGAACGAGATCTTTCAGCTCAAAGAATCGATGAAGTGGCGGGTCAGACGGCAAAATGAAGCGCCGCTTTCTGCTGGCTGGGTTTGACGTCTTGAAGGTGCCGAAGTGGAGGAAGCATTTCATGCTGTTAACCTAGGCGCGAGAACGACGAACGTTAGCTAACTAAACGAACAAGAGTCAAGAGTTGGGTTGAAAGCTGCAAGGGTTCACAGCTGCAGTGGTTCCACGTGTGTTTTCCCCGAGGTCTCAGCCATTTTTAGCAAGTGTTTCCATCCAGACCTCCTAGATAATCGGGTTGTTCAACACCACAGCACAGCTTTGGGCCATCGGCCTAACTCTCAAGCTCACCTCATCTTGGGCCACCCCCGCCAAGTGTTCCGTCTTTTGTCCACGAGAAGTGTGCCGCACTTTCCGCGCTCCCAAATCCTAGCGCAGCGGCGTTTGTTTGCAGACTGGGATCTCCCAAGCGGCACCAGGGCTTTTCTCGTGTTAGTGAGTGCCAGCCCAATCTAGATACGATCGGCGGGCCGTGACGACCGAGACGGGCGGTCCAAGCCACTGTGGCAGGGCGCGATGTGACAGGGGTCAACAAGCCCATCTTGGTTCCTTCTCTTTTCCCCCGCATATTGGAACGCAAAACCAAAGTTGATGGGTTTCTGGCACGCGCAGCGGCTCAACAGCATGGACGGTTCCGCATGTTTGCGCTGACGGTTCCACCGCCAATTACCCAACTCGTGTGCATCCTACAGGGTGTTAGCTCTCGATCATGGTCGAGTCTGGCACGGCACATGACTTGAGCTCCCCGAATCCCCAACTCTCCGAGCTCTCCAAATCCCCAACTGCACTCGGTTGAGTCGGTTCTCGGGACCGGATCCGAACTCTATTGGGTACGCCTACGGAGACTGACAACGGGCCCCCGCTTGCTCTCTCGTATTTGTCGATTTTGTCATCGTTTTCGGGCGAAGTGGCTGGTGAGCATGGGGCATGTCCGGTAAGGACGGCGCGTGGACCAACAGGATCTTGACAAGGCTGCCATGATGATCCTATTTTGGGCATAAGGGTAATGGCAAGATCGGGGTGCTGTTGCGCTGGTGTTGTGGGGGCAGGTATTGTTCCGACGCTCCCCGCATGTTAGGCAAGGTGTTGACGCCTTGGGACCGTCGATGATGTCTATATAAGAGGCGTGGTCTCCCACTGACAGATCAATTACCTTACTCACTCATCCAGCAAGCAACTGAACAGCCTACACTCGCTTTCATCCTCATCACAACACAAACAAACAACCCAACCAACAACTACCAACACCACAACCACCACCACCACCATGCTCGCCAAGCTCTCCGTCCTCGCCCTTGCGGCTCTCGCCCCCCTCGTCTCCGCCGTCGGCAAGGCCCGCGTCGTCAACAAGGGCGACGACACCGTCTACGTCTGGTCCGTCGGCTCCCAGATCGCCGGTCCCTACACGTTGAACAAGGGCGGCTACTACAGCGAGGAGTTCACCAAGGACCCCGTAACCGGCGGCAAGGCCTTCAAGATCACCAAGACCATCGACGGTCTCTACACCGGCGCTCCCCAGACCATCTTCGCGTACAGCCTCGACAACGACAAGGTCTGGTACGACCTGAGCGACGTCTTTGGTGACGCTTTCAACGGCAAGAAGCTCGTTGTTGCCTCGGCTGAGACCACCTGCCCGTCGATCATCTGGCCCACTGGTGTGCCGCCTGCCGGTAGCCAGGTCAAGGTGTGCACGTCGACACAGGACGTGAAGCTTACCATCTATTAAGCGTGGGGAAGTAACTAAAAGGTTATGATGGGTTATTTTGGGTAAATCACACGGGTGAGGAGTACGGGTCTATGGGACGGTACATATTTTACAGCGGGCATATTGGGTGGGCGGTTTTTGCTTCTTACAATCCTTAGATGGAAGGTTCACATAGCCTTCTCATTAATTGATCAATGATAAACGGCTATCTCTGCTACTACTGTTCGTCTTTGCATTGCTTATTATATCACCTATCCTCTGCATCCTTTTTCTCAGTGTGCACCGAGTTCAATGGGTGTTTGCCCCCCCTTGGCCTTGACCCTGTGAGCCAACACATCGGACTGATGAACGAATCAAATCTTGGTGTTAGTCCGACCAGAATATTAAGCAACAGGAACTGATAAGAGCCAGCCAACGAAAATCAAACAATGTTTCCTGTAACCACTAAGGCCCTTTATCTCTCTTATGCACCGTTATGCATTATTGTGCGACCTGCTTTGATTGGATTGTCTCTATTCACCGGCATGCTTGTCGACATCACAACGTCTATTGTTGACCATTCTATCCCAGTTGTGTCTTCTGTCTAAATGTATGACATGTCCTCATCAATCCCTCCACGACAAGTAAGTCATCCATCGTGGCACCATACTTGACAACCTTTCTAGTCCATCACCCTTCTAGCTGTCCCAATCTCTCTAATTGATCATGGCATTCCTGAAGCAATCCCAACCTCACTCTACTTACTCAATCCCTCAAGAACCGCAACCACGCCCTCGCAACAGCAAGCCCATCATGTTTCTCCTTTATCCTCCCCATCGCATCTTCAAATGCGGCATCAGGCAACACACCCAGCTTGTGTCGCGTCTGCAACAGCGTTTTCATGAGGAAGGGCGTGTATTCCGGGTGACCTTGTGTCGTCATCAGGCTACCTGGGGCATACATGCCCTGGCAATGACAGGAGGAAGTCGAGCCGAGGCGAACGATGGGGACGGATGGGTTGAAGGGTAAGGCAGAGGGATGCGAGAGGACAGCGTCACGGTGGGATTGGTAGATGTTCTGTTGTTGTTAATTCGTTGCGTGTCATAGGGACCAGGAAATACCCAGGGAAACGACGTAGAAAAGATAGGGACAAAAGGGGCAGAAAGAGAAAAGGGAAAAAAAAAAAAGAGAGATAACACTCACCAAACACTCCCCGGTCCTCAACACCCACCTCCCCTCCTCACTAACCTCCACCTCCGTAACCGCCACCTCCCACCCACCCGCTGACGGCCCAACCACACCCCCCAACGCCCTCGCCACAATCTGATGCCCAAAACACACCCCAATCACCTTCACCCGGCCCCCTTCCAACAGACCCCGGGTATACTCCGTCAACCGCACAATCCACTCGTCATCGTCATACGCCGTGTACCGCGACCCCGTGATGAGCACGGCATCGATGGTGCCCGGGTCCGGGTAGACGGCCTCGGGGTGGATGACGTCGTGGGCCGTGAGGGTTAGTTGGGATTCTAAGGGTTGTGGTGGCTCATTCTGATGCTGAGGCTGGGAAGGGTCTACGGTTTCGCAGGCCGTGCGGAGGAGGGTGGTGAAGATGGTGTCGAAGGTGCCGAGACGGGAGCTGATGGCCGGGATGGGGGTGTCGGTGAGGAGGATGGCGAGACGGAGAGGGTCAGGATTTGGAAAGGAACCCATCTTGGAGGCTAGTTTGATGGGGATTTATTATTGTGTTTGGGTGTATTTGGTTGTATAATTAATTATGAATTTTGGGGGGGTTCAACGTTATTCTTTTCGTTTTCCATTTCACCTCCTGTTTCTCTTTTTTTCTCTTTTTCTTTTACCTTTAATACCTCTTTCCTCACACATTCCTTTCTATTTAAATCCCGCGGTAGGAGTCATTCGTGCGACCGGCGGATTATTCTGCTCCACACCGCTTCGTGTACTTCGACAAGGGAGGTGAGTAATGTCAACAAGATGATATTCCAGACCGTTAGACACGTGATGCACGATGGCGAGGATGGTCGATACCGGCCCGTATCTCTTTAACCACCGGGCCTATCTCACGTCAGCGGAGTACCACCCTCCGACGGATGTGGACAAATATCTCGGTTGGGGGAGGAAAAAAACGGCCTTTTTTTCGTGAGGCTGTGGGAGAACGAGGCAGGGAATAAGCAAACGATTGCACAATCGCAACTTACGGGATGTCATGTGATACGTCGACCACGTTCCAGAACGTAACCGTTTCGTTCCCTCGACCGGGGCATCCGGATGTGCCCCTGCACGCGTTCCGATCACGGACCTCGAGCCGGGCCGGATCGAGATCCTTCGGGAACAGGGCCAGATACAGCCGGTGGGATCCAATTTGCCGTGGATTTTAGCAAGGGAGGCCAAATATAGGCTGGGATGACTGGGATAACGATTCTATCACGTCTAATGGGTCTATGGTATGAACTACAAAGTCAATGCTGCAGCTTTACACCGCTGTATCCTCTCCCTCGCTTGTCGTCTCGCGTAACGACACCGCGTTGTCCAGGACCGGGTCCTTGAGAACGATGTACTGGGATCGGGCTCGAATCTTGCTTCCGTACTTGTAGAGCACGAATGGTACGGGCACAAGCACTACCGAGACAAACCCCAGCAAACTGCTCGCCCAGCCGATGCCCATGGAGGAGAACATCTGCACGGTGAACAGTGGGAATGCACCACCTCCAGCATACCGCAGCAAGCTGTTGGCACTCAACGCACTGGCTCCATGCAGAGACCCGTAAGCGTTCATGATATACAACGCGCCGCTGCTGTAGACCATGATGTTGCCGACGGCAAATGGCACAGCAGCCACCACAGGACTGGCCCAGTACGTGCCCGCCTCGGCAGTCCAGCCGAACCAGAACAAGCTGGCTGGGTTGAGAGCCGCGCCGACCATGGCGCCGTACAACCGATACTCGGGCGGTACAAGGCCGACCCCGAAACGTGCCTCCAGTGCCGGGTAGGTGCGGCGGTCGATGTAGACAACGGCCAAGAACCCGATCACACAGCCCAAGGCAATCGAAATGAATGTGAGCCCTTCTTCGCCAGGGGGGAAGTTGTACTTGCCACTGCTGCCAGCGCCGTCACCAAACACGTAAGGGAAGGCGGCGAAGAAGGAGTAGAAGACGGCGAAGTTGAAGGCCATGTAGATGGTCATGAAGAGCACGATGGATTCGACAAAGAGCATCTTGAAGGGTTTGAGCACAATGCGTTGTACGATGGCGCTCGAGGGAAGTGCGAATTTTGGGGCAGCAGCAGCAGTTTCGGTCGCTAGTGACGGGTTGCTCGCCAGCGCGGCCTTCTTCTCGGCTTGCGCGCGCTTCTGGAGGATGGTCTTCTTGTAGGTCTCGAACTGCGGCAGGGCGTACACGTAATTGAAGGCAACCATGAAGAGGATGACCCACTCGAGCCAGCGGAAGCCCTTGGCTTGGCTCAGGAAACCACCGATGACGGGACCTGTGAGAGAGAGGAAAGTTGGTTTGTTTGGTCACGCAAGAGGGTCGAGTGAAGGTGGGGGGGAGGGGGGGGGGGGGGGGGGGGGGGGTTCTTACCAAAAGCCGGCCCCAGGAACGGTGACACAAAATAAAAGGGGTAAATAAGTCCCGCCATAGTCGGCGGCCAGAGATCCGCATTCGTCCCGCCGCCCACCGAGACGACGGCACTGCCGAAGAACCCAGCGAGCGTGCGGCAAACAATGAGCGTCGGGAAATTCTGGGCAAAGCCAGACCCTAAGATGAAGAGCCCAAACACGGGGACCGTGGACAAATACACGATGCGGCGGCCATAGTACTCGCTGACGGGGGCCGCAATGATGGCGCCGAGACCCAGGGCCCAAAGGAACAGAGAAAGCCCGAGGAGGGATTCGGTGTGGGAAACGCCGAACTCGCGTGAGATGTCCTCCGCGCCGGAGGTGTAGACGGAAGAGGCGAAGGAGCTGGAACCCGTTAGCGTCGAACCACAACCACGTTTTGGAGCTTTGGGGAGGGGGACTTGAGAACTTACACGTTGACACAGAGCAAGGCGGGTATGCTAGTCATGTAGAGGCGTTTCCACATCGGCCAGTTGTATGGACAATTAGGATCGTCCGGCCCGCGCCAATCGGATGGGTCGGTCACCTCGTTTGCGACCGTCATTGGGCCTTTGGTCTCGGAGTCGCTCATGTGTGTCTTGGTCGACAACTGTCGAGTTTAAGTCTTGTTGACTTTTTGGCGTCTTGCTGAAAGTGAAGCAGAGTTTGCGGTTCAAAAGAAAGTCGGTCAATTGCGAAGTAGAAGAACAATATTAGCACAAACAAACGGCAATTAGTCACGGCCTCACCAAGTCATCATCACGATTTTGCGGGTCCAACCGGGGGCGAAATGCCGAAACGAAATCGCTAAGGCCCGGAAGCACCGAATGAAGGCTGTGAGGGAAGCACCGAATCCATCGATTGGTCCGGTTGGGGTTGGTTTTCGGAAAGATTCGAATCACGGGCCGTTGGGGGAGGATGGATGGCAAACATGGAACTCTGCGGTTGCCGCAATCGGACAAAATGCTGAAGCTTGGCTTTCGACGTCGTAACATGGGAACATGGGGTGCTCAAAGTCCCGAACGAAACCCACAGCGGTGTGCGGGCCGTTTCCTAGCGCAGAGAGCCGAAAACCTCCATCTCTCTGCGACGGTGAGCATCCATTATTGCATTGTGGTGGATCTACATACATACGGTCTCATCCGGCTCTCCGGGCACGGAAGAAATTGGGCGGTTCCGGTCGCACGCTGGAGGCCATTTAAAATCCCACGGGACTTCCCTTCCAGGGCTGCAGACGCCCCTAGCACGCCGTTACGTAAAGCGGCTGACCGCTGAGACCCTAGCGTTGCACGGCGCCTGACAATGCAGCTCGGCATGCATCATGCCTTCCATAACGTCAACCTCTGTTTAGGCGACGCCTGAGCTGAAAATTTTTACTCCCACGCGTCCTTCAAACATCGTGCGATCCAAACATTAGCCAGCGTTTCATCCCAGAGAAATATTTTTCTCATCCACGGGGATTCACGGATTGGGGCCAGAATCTCACACCCCGATCTTTCGCCGACGACGACACGGGTTATGCATCCGGTCTCGAGCTGCCCAATAATGCTCGACGCTCCTTAGCACGCCCACCAAAGCACAACTTGAACATTTTCCACCTCCTTTACGCCATCCGAAGCCAATCACGACATCGCGTCAAGCGGCGTGGCCATGCCGTGAATGTCCACCGGGATATCCGATGGTTGGGTGGGAAATGTCACATTCTCTCAACATCTCATCCTTCCTCACCTCATCAACAACTAGCCATGGCGAATGTCAGCACAAGAGGTATTGGGCATCACGGCGCCCTTGAAGGGACCCTCTTGACTGCGTTTGCGTCCGAGCCGTCCTGCCACATCCCAGAATATTTTGGCAAGATTCGCGGCCGTTTTCCCAGTTTTCGCCGAGGTCTCCGCCCCTGGCGGTTGATCGTGTCTGATCCCCTTGGAAGAACACCCCTGGGGAAACCCTACTTTTGGCTCAATCCTACTTTTGCTGGGCCGCTGAGAGACCGCGGTAGCCGCCAAGTATATTTTAACGGCCCGCTGCGGGCCGGGGAACAAGGCCGGTGTCGAAAGACGCCACAGGCCCCGGATCGGAAGCAATTGCATTAGCGCGACTTCAGCTGGGGTCGAACTGCGATCATGAGCCTGAACGGGTTCGACGGCATGCTTCGACACTGTCTTGTTTCACACAACCTGTCGAAATAGAGTCCCAACGGACGGGGTTCGCTCCCGTGGCTCGTTTCACAGCGCAGGCACTGCGAGACACAAGAACAGAGCCGCTTTAAACGTGCTCGGGGACTGCGATCTGGTCTTGGCGCCCATATAAGCGAGCAAGGTGTCCGTCCATCCATCTCGGCCCTCAACAAGACGCGGCCAGTGTTGCAGTGCCGCAGTGCGGGGCGGGGCCCGATGGTGTTTTCTCGTGTATCCTCCGTCCGGGCCTCCAAAAGCCGAGAATGGAGGTTCGTAACTTGGTTCGGCCGAGCGTGGGGCGATGGCTGACTGTAGCTTCTCGACCCATTAAGTCCGCTAGGCCTCCTAGTCTTTCCCCCAGTTCTGGTCGCACACCGGATGGCACACGGCTTCTTAGTGGCTGAGAATTGAAAACGCGTCCACCCGGCTGTAGCTTGTTTGCAGTAGGGCAGTTGTCGTCACCACCGCCCTCCTCAAGCCACCAGAGCCACCCTCCCTGCACTCTCCACAACGTGGAGGATGTCTCCTCTCATGCTGGACCCCCGTAGGCCAGAACACGGATGATTCCAGTGTACATACATGCTACCTGTCCATACACGTACGATGCCTAGTGGCTGCTGGACCCAGTCCTGTCGCCCCATGTAATAAGACCCGCAGATCTGGGCGGCAGATTTTAGACCCTTTCGGTAAAGGAGCCAACCCCCTTGGGCCGCGCAAAGCTTGGCCACCACGACACCTGGCTCGCTTCAAGCTGCCGAGTGCTAAGATGCGCGGGGCACGTTCCATCACACATGCCTGGTGTCGAAGAAGGCATGCGGAGAAGTTTAGGGCCACGCCCGCTGCTCGTCCAGATGCAGGTGGACATAGTAGGCACACGCTTTCAGATAGAATAATCATACGCTGAGGGTGTGGAAGCTCAGTCATGTACTCATCACCTGAACAGACCCCGGCTCGTGGACAGAGTGGTGTCTTGTCATATTCATTACCTATTTTCTATTGTTGAGAGTAATGAAGAGAGGGGATGGTTGGAAAGACGGGGGGGTTGCGTCCCCCACGACGAGGACGAGAGAGGACGGGTACAAATACCGCTGCCGGACTGCGGATTGACGAGGACCTGTTTGCTCTGCTTGTCCGGTCGAACTCAAGCTGCCTCTTTCATCACACGACGATTCCCGCAAGCCGATATTCAACAACGGCAACACGCCCAGCATGAAGTTCCTTACAACAGCTAGTCTTCCCTCCTTCTCGTTGGGGACCAAAAGGCCCTCTTACATCCATTTTGCCGATGTCGCCTTTGATTTATCCATCCCCTTGACCAGCCCGCAGACGGTGGGCGTATGGATATGTGACGGCCAGGAAGTCACAGCGTCTTTGCTGGACCGATGGCTCAGCCAGGCTGTCAATGTCCCCAAGTCCATCCTCGTTCGCGATGTTAGCGCGATCCCCCGTCTCGAAGAGCTCGCCAAGGGCCGGGTGGCTGCGATCTCGGCATTCCCCGCTGAGCTGCCCTCTGCCACACCGAGGGAAAAGGACGAAGCCATTCTCCGGGCAGCGGAGAAGCTCTACGCCCAAGCCCATGCCAACGCCACAGCCGAGCGGTCCAAGGTCAAGCCCACCATCAAAAACAAGGAGAAGCCCTCCGTGGTGCTCGTCGGCGCGGGCATCATGAACCTCCTAACCGGCAAACTTCTCGCCGAGAAAGGCTTCCAAGTCCGCATTGTCGATCAGGCTCCCGACCCGCGAGCGACCCAACCTCAGGACTGGACCGCCCTCGGCGTGACCAGTGGCGGGCACAACGCGCGCATGTTCACGTACACCGAGGCGGACAACTACAACGAACAAGACAGTGAGCTCTATGCGGACATGCAGTCCATCTTCCGCAAGACGGTACGCGAAGGCGGGTGGAGTGTCAAGGAGCCCAAGGCCTTCACACCGGCGGAGCACGACTGGGTGGGTGCGTTTGAGCGCGTTCCCGGCTGGATGGCGGCCATGTTTAAGAAGGAGATCCACAGCGTCAACACGGAGGCTGGGAGGCTGTGGAAGGAGCTGATCAAGACTGCTCCGGAATTGTTTGAGGAATCTGGGTTCCGCAAGGACATTGTGCGGTTGTACGTTGAGTCGGTAGCGCTGGAGGCTTCTGTCGGGCTCAACGGCAACCTTGGCTCGCTTCTTCAGACCCCGTCCACGGAAGAGTTTCTGACCAGCTACCCGGTCTTCCGTTCCGCGGTTGAGACGGACCACCTGGCTGGCGGGCTCATCGTCGACGGCTTCACCGTCAACGTCCACCTGTTTGTCGAGAAGCTGATTGCACGTATCACATCACTGGGCGGCGAGTTCATCTGGAACAGCGAGGTCCAGGGCATCCAGCGCAACGCCCAGGGAGAAGTGACGGCGCTCAAGACGCAGCGTGGGGCGGATCTGCAGGCCGACCACTTTGTCATTAGCCCCGGCACGAGCGGCCACTCACTGCTCCACGGCACGGCGAGTGAGAACCTGGTGCAGGGCGTGCTGGGCATCTGGCTGCAGATTCCCAACGTGGAGCCCAAGGTGAACCATTCGATGAAGATCCATCGGCGCGGGCACAAGGTTGAGGACATCAACGTGACCGTGGCCAAGGACCAGCAGACGGGCGAGGACATTCTCATTTTCGGGGGCGGGTACGGATACGTCGGGCTGGACCGCCGGCCGGACCCGGAGTCGCCCGAGCTGGCAGCCCTGTACGACGAGCTGGAAGAGGTCGCGCGGATTTACTTCCCCCGGGGCTACGAGTTGGCCAAGTCGCGCGGGCCCACGTCCTTCTACCCCGGCGGACACCGCAAGCTGTGCGTGCGACCGTTTACACCGACCGGGCTGGGTCTGTTTGAGACAATCCCCACCTCGGCGGGTGGACAGCTCATCATCACCGGCGGGAACAACACAGGTGGTTTCGCCCAGGCGCCGGCGATCGCCCAAGCTGTGCTCAGATCGTTCCGTGGAGAAGCCGATCCCATCCAGGTCCTTTTCCACCCGGCACGCGGCAAGCTCCCGCGCTCTGCGGTATACAAATCGCGGACGCCTAGCCCGCTCGCATCGCCGTCGCTCAGCACCGACGACCTCAAGTCCGAACTGGTCCCGCAGCCACAACAACAACCCCCAACCCCGGAACCCCTCAAGGTCCTCCTCGTCTGCTCCGACAGCCCCAACCACACCTACCTCCGCTATCGTCTCTCCGAAGCCTTCCCGGGCGGGTACCACTGCATCGTGGAGCCCGACGCCGGCCAACTCCGGCATCTCGCCAAACAAAAGCGTCACATCGACGGCGCCTGGCAACGCTACCACGGTCTCCGCCGCAAACTCCTCGGCCACTCCGCCCGTCGCGCAGCCCACTTCGCCTCCCTCATCCCCACCGACTACACACCCCCCACCCCGGACCTCATCGTCGATACCGTCAACTCCTCCCCCGTCTGGAAAGCCGTCGAGGAATGGCAGCCCGAACTCACCATCGTATCCGGCACCAAATACATCGGCAAGAAACTCTCCGACCGCGCGGGCCTCATGATCAACCTCCACACGGGCCACCTGCCAGAATACAAAGGCAATCACTGCATCTTCTTCGCACTCGCCGACGGCCGCGTCGACTGCGTGGCCTCCACCCTGCACCAACTCACCTCCACCCTCGACGGCGGCGACGTGCTGGACCGCGTGTACCCGACCATTGACCCGACCACGGACAATGAAGATACGCTGTATACCAAGTGTTTGCAGTTGTCGGTGGAGAGGGTGGTGGAGCATGCGAAGCGATTTGAGAGAGGGGAGGAACTGGAGTTTGTGCCGCAGCGGAAGAGGCCGGCGGGCGCGGGGCCCGAGAAGGTGTATCGGCATCGGGATCGGACGGTTGGGAGGGAGTTGGGGGTGTGGTGGAAGGTTAGTGTGGGGGGGTTGTTGAAGGGGGGGAATTAGGGGGAGTAGCCAAGGGGGTGGATATAAGGTGTTGGAAGGGAATTGGATGTCATGGAAAAGACGAGTTGTCGGCAAACAAATAAGGTGATTGGTTTACATGAGGGTTAAGGGACGATGGAGTTTAAAAAGGATTTGTTTATATCAAATGATAGTGTCCGTGCGCTTTTACAATACATCAACCAAGATTCAAATATCTGATGTAAAGATAAGCGAGCAGTGAAAGGTGCAAGGGATATGTACTATACATGTATGTAACCGGCGTACTACCTAAGTAAGTTACCCCTATATACCCTAACCCTCACTCACCCTCATTCCCTCCTCTTTTCCTACTTCTCTCTAGGTACATCTGTATCTACGCCTTAGCACACACCGTGGTAGTCGCCGTAACCGTAACCGTCCCCGTAGCCGGCTTCGTCACATACGCAATCCGCGTCACAGGGAACAGCTGCGTATCAATATCCACCACCGCCGTGCCCGTCAACGTCGACACCACATTATCAATCACCGTCACCGTGGTGTACACCGTCGTGTACGAGCTCACCGGCGGGTACACCTGCGACCCTTCGCCCTCGCCGTGGTCCCCGCTCTGCCGTTGCTCCACGCCAACAGCTGGTGCAATAGCGCGGGGCGTGGGCGCAGCAGCGCGAGCGTTGGCTCCCGAACCGCACTTCTCGGTCCGCGTGATGGTGTCGGTGACTGTCTTACGCTGGGTAACGGTGATGGTGGTTGTGGTCTCCGGCGACGGGTTGCCCTTGCAGGAGGTATACGTCGACGTGCCCGGGATGATGGAAGTGACATCCGTAGCGATGGCCACAGTGTTCTTCGTCTCGACCGACACACCGGGTTCACTGAAGTACTCCCAGTCCTCGAGGGATTTGGTCGATGTGGGCAGACCCGTAACGCCCGGGATAGTGGTGGAGCGCGTGGAGGTTGTCAGGCAGAGACCTGTGGTGGTCGCGATGTGCTCCCAGTTGGACCAGGTCCAGGTGAGGTACTCCCAGTCGGCGTACTGCACGACGAGGGTGTTGAGGCAGTGGTAGGAGACGTAGGTTGCTGTCGGGGTGGTGACGGTGATGGTCGGGGTGTGGAAGAAGTACTGGGTTTGCGGGGCGCGGGTGAGGTTGGTGACGGTGACGGTGCTTTGGGCGGTGGCGGTGATGGTGGTGGTGGTGGTGGTCCACTTGTCTGGGGGGTAGCTGTAGTTGTAGGTGATGCAAGAGGAGGTCACCGTGCTGGTGAAGGCGGGCGGGGCCGCGGTGGAGGTCCAGCCGGCTTCGCGGGTGATGGTAGGGTCGTTGGGGTTGACGGTTACTGTGGCCGGGGGGATCCAGACGGTGGTGGTTGAGACGATGATTTCGTCGCGCTTGTCAACGGCGAGGGCGGCGTTGCCTGCGTTAGCGTTGGCGTTGGCTTGGATCGGGCTGGCTGAAGTGAGGGCTGCCAGCTGGAGGAGGCAGGCTCCAAGGAACCGCAGACCCTGTCGTGACCGGGCCATGGTGATGGTGTGCTGCTTAGTATTGTGTATGGTTTGACACGGACTAAACAAAACGGACTAAGAAGACCAGACCAGTACCGCTATTCTAGACGAGGTAGGTGATCTTCAGGCACATCGATCATCCTTGGACGATGATCCCTCGTCATCTTATACTCGCACCAGCCTATGCCTTGTTCCCCAACCCCCAAACTCCTTTCCGTATCCCGCCAAGAAACAAGTTAACAGCCCCTCTTCGGATATCCCCTCACAATCACAATCACAACACCACAGAAAACCAGGCCGACCGCGCGCGTTGCTTAGTCTCGCCATGTCGTATCCCCAACACACCCATTGCTTACCCTCCGATGAGTAAACGGACCATCGCGCGGGTCTGTCCCACCAAAATCGACCAAAATGAGAGGGAAAACAAGACAACCACCCAACGGAGATTTGTTAGCCGATAGTTCGATACTACCTACCCCAACACTTCCAGCCGGAGCAGCCCTGCAAACGCCAGCAGCGGCCGCCCAGCCCTGTTCTGCCCTGCATGGGATTTTGCCTCTTTTGTGGCCATACGACGCACGAGACACTAGGCATCCAAGATCTAATCAGCTTGGCGGCCGTGGCCGTGGCCGTTCGTGCCGAGATTCTTCGTCGTTCTTTCCGCCAGACACTTGTTAATTACCCCTCCCCCGCATCGACAAGCCGTTGGGGGGGGAAACGGTAAGTTTACCGGGTGGAGACGCGGAGTACGACTCTCCGTGGATTGGAAAGCCCGAAATCAGTTTACAATCTTGGCTTGCTGCTGGCCGGATAGCCGGGTTGTTGGTGTTAACTCCGGGTGTGGTTTCGGGAAACATGCAACCAAGGGTCGTGGCTATCCAGTTACGAGGTGTACTTGGTAACTGGGCTAATTAGGTTCGGAAAATCTCTGGTCTCTCTCCTAGGCCTATCCGAACGAGCGACGGTTGATGATTTTTGTGTTACCACACCGGGGAAAATGCTAGTACGTACACAGTACGTATCCGGCTGAGAGAAAAATAAAATAAAATAAAATCAAGCACCAGCTGGAAGAGGATGTCATCAGAACAATAGGTACCTAGCTAGCTCTGACATTCCGCTCTCGACTCAAATGCCCCCCCAAGTAACTTCTTAGAGCTAATTACGCCCAACCAAGAAACAATCCTTCGTCCAGAATACGGGTTCACTGCCAAGGTGAGGGAAAATACTACTATGTACCTTATGTAAACAGTCAGCAAACCACGAAAGGGCGGAAACCATAGTTTCCCCCAGAGTGTCAAGTGATTGCACCCTCAGCCCATAGTCGACGCAGGCCGAACCCCAGTCTTTGGTACGACCGTAATACCACAACAAAATGCTCCCCCAACCCACCGCTGACCGGCAAATTATAAATTCTGGCCCGTTTCCCTCGACCACTATGCAACTCTAAGCGGCTGCCGACCCAACTCTTTGATTGGCGGGTTCGTATACTTCGGTGCCCGACTCGACTGTCACCGGCCCGTTCAGATTCAACCTGGTCACCGGAGCCAGTCTTCGACAACATGCATGGCTGACCGATTCCATGGGTCGTGTCATGTCATCTTATGGGAAGTACTCCGTCCTGTATTGGATGAGACAAAGACAATATTTATTATTGATGATGTCTTGGTTGTATGGCCGGGCCTACCCTTTTTGGGAGGTGAATTTTCTTCAAAGCTGCCCGTTTAGGTTCAGCTTGTTAAAATAGCTCCGACGAAAGGGAAATTAAAAAAGTAACATGCACTCTAAAAATACCAATGGTCAACAAAAACAAAGGTAGCCCAATTAATGACCCCGGGCGAATGCACAAGGCAGTCGAAAAAAGCCGCCTCGGTCGTATCGCACCTGTCGAGGTCCTAATCGGAATGTGACGTTAAACCCGACATTTCTCGTCTTCCCAAAATACCAAACCGACACCGCCAAATGATCCCGGACATCGATCCGGAGAAAAAAACACGGGCTAATTAACCTTGTTCACGCAACTTACCTCCGAATGACGAATCCATCGCGGGACCGGCCGCAAAGGGAAGGTTAAAAACTTAAAATCTGGGGCTTCGATGGAAGAACCCAGTCAACACACCAGAAAAAGACCAAATAGGAAAATGGTATTTCTAAGTCTGTTGACTCCCTCTCGGATTGAATTCACCGCTGCGGGCCGTGCTATTCCCGCGGCGTTGACTTCCTGCTAGGCCAGACGGGAGGTTTTTGAATCAATAGCCACGGGGTTTCAAATGTGTAGAATCAGGGACAGGAAAGCGGCATGTTTGACCACCCCCCCAAAGAAGAAGCCTGAACCCATAGAATTGGACCTGTGAACGACAAAGAGACTTGGATCGCGTTAATGAGCGATTGAAGCAGCGCGCAATGAATCTTGAATCATGTTAAGGAGCTACTGAAGCAGGGCTAGGCTATGCTAAAGAAGCAGATGCAAGATATCAATTCCATCCCCTTCCCTCTTCACTCCCCTTTGTCAAGCGCTCCTTTCAAGCCGACGTCAACATGTACCCCTCAGGCACGGAAAACTCCCTGGCAAGGGCCTTCAAAGCCTCCATAGGGTCCATACCCTGCATAACCTTCATGGCGCTCACGACCCGGCATTCACCCATGGCAATATCACCCTCCGCGCCGCAATCATGCTTGTTCTCCATGGTCTCCTTCATCTTCTCCTCCCCCTTGAGGCGGATGATACCATTCTCGTCCTCTGAGTATGGAATCTGCGTCAGGAAGCCCTCGTCATCTGAGCCAAAGGTGCGGCTTACGATCCGAGGTGACGGAGGCGTGTAAGGCAGCGGGCCAGCCTTGCCGCGGCGAATGTCGGGGTATGGCCGCCATTCCGGGTCGTCCTTGTCGAGGCGCATCAGCGCCACGCGGGCCCTGCGGCGGGGTGGGTATGTTAGCGATATAATAGGCTTGGTGCACAAAACATCGGCAGGCAGTAGCGTTGGTAGAGAGAGATCAGTAGTAAGTGGGATAGCAACGTACCACTCGCGGCCGGGATCGCCGGAAAGCTTGGCCGCCTCAATCTTGTTGAGGAGAGCGGTCGAGTTGGGAGCGAACAGTTCTACCTCCATGGCCGTGAACCAGCCGGCGAAACGGAAGCCGGCTGCCTTGGGCTTGCCAGCGAATACGGCGATGCCGTCGTGTACGGGCGGGATGTACTTCATGGTCGGCGTGTTCACGGCAGTCACCTCGGGCGTCTCGGAAGGGACCAGCATCGAGATTATCTGGCCGCCGTCGTCGAAAACTTCCATGTCGGGGCCGTCTTCGATTTGGTAGCGCGGGAGACGGCGGGGAGCGCTCAGTCTGACGGCCCTGCGCTCCGTCATCTCGTCGTGGCTGGTCCCTTGGCTGGCTTCGAGAAGCAGGCCCTTCTTCTCGGCGTAGCCGGGAAGGAGGTTCAGTCGCGCCTTGGCGTAAATGATGTTGTTCTTCAGGAAGTCGGGCTGTTTAGCCAGTGAGACCAGGATGTAGGAGACAACGGTGGGGTTGTCGACCGTGGCGTTGAGGATGCCAATGTTCCTGGGGTTGACCTCTTCGCGGTTGAAGTAGGTCGCGATGTTCTCCGCGAAGTGACTACAGAGTCGTTGGTGTTAGTAACCATGTTGCTTCGAGTGACCACATCAAATCAAACTTGTATTCCGAATTTCCAAATGAGAAAGCTCAGCGTAAATGAACGTCCTCAAGGGGGTTATTTCGTCCTTTAGAATCCAAAAGCAATGCGGCTCAGAAGACATACCAATTCTTGCCAAGACGGAGCCTGGAAACCTTGGGACCATCAAGTCCTTTCTCGTCATTGCCTTTCTTCGCGCTAGAGTCGCTGAGCTTGCGGTCGCTTCTGTTCGAAGAGGCTACGGCTCGAGAGCCACCACGCGAACTACTACGACTGTCGCCTCGGCCGCCGCGAGAGCCGCCTCCACGGCTAAAACCTCCACGGCTGCCGCCACGGCTACCACCACGGTCACCAGTGTCACCACCGCGGCTACCACCACCATGACTGCCACGTCCGGCCCGTCCGAGAAAGCCTTGACCACGAAGAGTCATGGTTTTCTTGGCGGTCAAAACGTTGGAGAAGCAGAAAATAAATAGAAACTCGAGACAAGGAAACGCTCGAGGTAAAAAATGCTGCGGTCAGTCAATAATAATAGGCTGACGAACCTCAACGTCGAGGGTTGCAGTGAACTGGGTTGAACTATGGAAAACTCTGCAACTTGCGGGAGAGGGAGAAAATGAAAGGAAGGAAAGGAAATTCCAGGCCCTTTAAATAGTAAAAGGCGTGGGTAAGAAGAAGGAGGGCGCCCTAGGGCATAGGGCGCAGGGCACAAGCCGCGATCTAACGCGGGTCCGGCTGGTTCTTCGACACCCGGCCTTCGACGGCCTCAGGCATTTTGGCTGATATTGTTCTCTTTGTCACGATGTCTCGGCGGTCGGCGGCAACTGCAGTTTGAATAGGCTTGGTTTCTTCTTCAAAGAGGACCGGGGTCCGGTCTGAGGGAGTCACACGCCCCTTCACGCACTCATCGACATACCTATCGACATGCCCATCGACACAGGGCCAAACGCACACGCACACATACCCACATACTCCGACACAACCGAGCAATAAGCCTGTTCAAGACCCCTAAAACATTGTTCTCCAGACCGAGGGAACACCAAAAGCCACAAGGCCAACCAAGGCTAACCAAAGCTAGAGGGCGAGAAAGAGATTCACTAGCCCGGCCCGGGATGGGTGGTGAGAACAAGGCACCGAGAACTAGGCAGCAAGATGCCGGAGTTTTGGGGACAGTGGTGTCGTCTACAACGGGAAGGCGCCACTACTGCAATTCATCGTTCTCTTCAGACCATTTATTCCATTCCTTCGAACCATAGGTAGGTAGTTAGCAATGGGGGGGTTGGCATTCCCTAGCAAGAAGGGAACGAAACGGTTTTTTAACACACCTCACACGATCGCTAATTTCCTTCTTCTCCAACCAGCCAAGAACCTACCACTCGCCCACCAAATGGGCTGCAAGTCTGCCTATATAAACACCCCTTCGCCCCCCTATTCACACACTAACCATTCCACTAGCAACGACTGCGAACGACGTGCCCATCGAGGGCATGCCCCAGATGATCCTGGGCCGAGACGACGAGAAGCTCGCCGAGGCCTTCGTGGAAGGCTTCCACCTCGGCTCCGACAACGGCTACGCGAGGGCCAGGGAGGAGACCTTCCTCGCCGCCGCCG